AAAGCAGGTGGAGGCTGGGGAGGAGGATGGGGAGATTTCAAACCCCAATAGTTTTTCTAGATGCATCTTTAAAAATCACTTCCATTCATTAATCAGAAAGTAAGTGGTAGTTACACAAGAAGTGATTTAAAGACATACTGTAGGTAGTAAGGCAGACTTGCTTTTGTTTTCTGTGTCACAGTTTTTCTTGACAGGACTAGGTTTATACACGTTTTCTTCAATATCGGACATAGAAGATATATTAAAAACACCGCAAATATTATTGTGTTCACCACTCATTTGTTGCATTTTTAAAGCCTTTTAGTCTATATTTCAAGTTGCAAACAATTTGACTCCGTCTAATTCCTTTTCACCTCAACCTCTCTTGTCAGTTGCCCTAACTGGGTCTCACATGCTGCCAAGGCTGAACCTGAACTGAACACAGTATCTTGCAGTGAACACCTTGTGGTTCTTGCATTACATAAAGTATCGTATGGGTCCTTCACTCATTATTTGTAGCTCATTGTTACTGTATTTTCATTCCTGGATTCTGATAAATCCTTAAGCTTTCAGTGTCCATTTGAGTATTGCGAGTCCATTGTGTTCTGTCTTATTTTTAAGAAACTGTATTTTTAAATATTTTATTGTATCTTTAAATTACTTCTGCACATATTCCATGCCTTCTAACACTGTGTATTCAAAGACATAGAAATTGTATTTAAATGAGCATTTTATGGAACATCCTTCATACTCATACAGGCAAACTGCAGGGGTCTCTAACCTCGTTGCTGGACAGCCCCAGTCCAGTTAGTCTTATAGGTTGTCCTATGTCTAATATTTAAAGATCAGGAACAATTGTTTAAGTCATTGATATTTTAAGCAAGTAATGTTTCAGTGAAGGAAACACTGCCCCTTGAGGGCAGAAGAATATTCTTGTGTTTCTTTCAAATCCATCCATCCATTTTCTAACCACTCTATCCATTTCAGGGTTGTGGTGGAGCTGGAGAAATACGGGTTTTTATTTTCATTGTTTTGTATTGGTAATTGATTGGATTGTTGATTGATTGATGTAATTAATGCCACACAGTAGGTGTAGAAAACGGGGGTTTTCAGGATGACTGTGCTGTATGTAGTTAGGTGTCACTATTACCATTATTAATAATGGAGGCTTCTTTTAGAGTCTTGTAGATCCTGCTAAATAATGTTTCCTGGACCTTAGGACAACGGTTCTTGAGTTTGTAAGAGCTCAACTCTATGAAGCCACTTTATCATAAGATCTGTGTCTGTCACAGTCATACATTTTAAATATGATAAATATTAATAATAGGATAAAAATGATAAATATGAGCATCAAACATCAATTTTGGGATGAACTCAGACTCATTGTGTTATTAACCATTTATAATTAACTTAATTGTTATGAATTCTATTATTAACCATGACTAAACCAAGCTTCAATCTTGATTATGATTTCATCATAATATATACAGAGCTTATCTACAGTATGTATAAATGATAAGATAAACCTCAAATGAGCTGTTTTTTTGCTGCTGCCGTTTTTAAAACAGAGAGTTTGCAATAAGGCAAATTTTACATTTAAAAAAGGAAAGGAAGAAAAAAACCTTTTATCCAAATATCAACTGTTTGAAGTAGTTGCATGACACTAAAACATTAAATATTTGTTCCTTTTACAACTGTGCTTTGTGTTTTCATTGTAGTTTTCTTATTCTGCCCTGTGAAAACAGAAAGTAAACAGTATTATTCTTCTATATTACTCTACCTGCTAATATTTTCTAAACTGATACCCAATAAGGGTGTTTGTGTTAGTTTCTTCATCTTGTCTTGACTTTTCCTTTGGTATGGTAAGATGTGATATAGACTTGACATTGGCATCAAAACAAGTCTACCTGTATCTCTTTTTGCTGTTCCTCTCTTGGTTTTGACATACTTACAGTTTTTCTATCCACAATTCAAGAAAGACATTTCTTGTAATTCCATAAAACCTTTCTTGCAAAGCATAATTATTTAAATCTTATGTTTCCTCAGAGTCATTGATAAAGTCAGTTTGGTGGACATCTTCAGAATGAACAGTGAAACATGAAACAGAGGACACAAGTGAAAACTACATGGAAGTACATTTAAAACTGAGAACACAAGGCATTTTTTTGTATAAAGGATTGTGTAAGTCTGGACCAAGTTACCCAACCATGTTGTTGAAGCTGATACCCATCTGGATACGATCCTTAGATCAATTAGCTATTAAGTATGAAATTGTATATGGTAGTCCTTTCATTCATAACCTTTCTTAAATTTTATTTTATTGCTTTGACCCACATATACACATTCTTTGGTTCTCCATTTAAAATACACAGGTTGACAACTGTTCGTTTTATTCTTTTAGTTCAGGTTCTGAGAGCTGTCTGCAGTCCTCAGACAGGAAGTGTAGCAAAACATTCTCATTTCATTGAGGTAACAGGAGTAAAATGTATATCCAGTAAAACATAAATATAACATTTCTGCATTCTGTATGTAATATTATATAGTACATATATTATCGTTTTGTAGTATTTGCCAAGAAAGACCTAAAAAAAATTAAACACTAAGATTTAATTTCGGGAAGTGCCTTGCATGAACAGCTTTTTTCAGGACATTTTGATGGGGTTTAGTTCTGAGCTTTGACAAGGTCATTGTAAAATGTGGAATTTCTTCTCCTGCAGCCATTCTTTTGTATATCTGCTTGTATGTTTATGATTGTTGTCTTGCTGCAAGATCCACTTTAGGTTCTGCTGCATGGCCTGACATTCACCTCCAGAGTCTTCGATGATGGCAGGACTTTCAGGTTCTGGGGCAGCAACGCTGTTCTAAACCATCACACTTCCAGCACCATAATTGACCACTGGAGTGAAGTTCTTCTGTTCAAAAGCCGGGTTTGGTTTTTGACAGCTAAGGTTTCTCAGAGGCCCCAGAGTTCTACCTTTGACTCATTGGGAGAATATTGTTCCAGAAAACTTGTGGATTATCTATGTGCTCTTTGGCCTAACAAGAGCACCATTGTTGTTCAGTTGTTTTTTGAACAATGACTCACAGTAGCCAAGGTGAGAGCGGCCTGCAGTTCCTTGGACTTACTCTGGGGTTCTTTATCACTTCCGTGAAGTTTTGTGTGGTTTGTTCTCTTGAGTTATTTTGGGAGGATGGCTGTTCCTGGATGGAGTGATTGTAGTCTTGAAATTTCTACATTTGTAGACGATCCATCTGACAGTGGATGGACAGAACCCCATATAATTAGAAATGGTATTTTAACCCTTTCAGGACTAATGGGGATTACTACTATTTTTTTATCTTTATATACAGTAGGGTGGGGACTTCCAAACTCAGCCACCAAGATCTACCCAATTATTTAAACACCTGATTCAAATTATTCTCTAGGGTTTGGCTTACTTTTCCATGTCCCCTGTACCTTAATTAATCATTTTTTAACTCATACATCATTTTGTTTGGGTGTTTATTGGGAGTTGGGTGGGGGGAGTCGGTGTTTGTGTCTACTATGTCCTGTCCAGGGTGTACCCTGCCTTACCTCTATTGTTTGCGAGGCTAGGCTCCGGCTCCCCACGACCGTGAATTGGAAGAAGCAGTTAGAAAACTGATGGATGGGCGGTTGGATTAAAACTGGTTTTGATTCAAGCAGCTGTCTTGGTAAAAATATTAAATTTGTGATTCAAACTTTTTCTCTGCACTGTAGGTGTTCTGCTGCGGAAGATATTCTGCTACGTATTCATGGAAAACAGTGATATTTAAATTCCAGTGGATTTTTCTGCCTCTGCACATATTAACTGGACAGATAGAACAACCACTGAACATTACTCTCATGTAGACATTTTGTTAGGCATTGCCAAATGCATGGGGCTGAGTTTTCCCAAGTTACCCGGTCCTTGATCCCAGCCCTGAGCTTTTTGAAAAGACCTTTCTACAATAAAATGGTGTTAAAATGCCAACAATGAATCTCATTATTTTATGAGACGTCCTTGAAAAAAAATCATTTAAGTTAATGTTTTAAACTGCTTGTTTCTTTTTTCTAACAATGTTTTATTATATTACAGACTACAGTAAAACCACAATGAGGGGTTCAGCGATTTTAGAGGGAATCAGGGTGGAGTGTCTCCAGTGGTAATAAATACTGGACACGCTGCAGTAAAACCCTCCCAGGTTTGCCTTTCTAAACTAGCACTACGGACAGTTCAGGGTATGCAAAAATCTAAAGAACGATATCTTGCATTTTAACAGAAGCATGCAAATGAAGCTGGATCAATGCAGTATTAAAAATGCGGGGTGTAATTTGCATAATTATATTAGGAAAGGTTCCTTACTTTACACTGCGCGCCACCCATATTAACTGCATGTTCACATTATATTTCAACTTAAAAGACAAGCATTTGAAATCAGATTGTTGTGACTTCTTTAAAGTTTCCCAAGATTCCCATTGGGCACAGTTATTTTTTAAAATAGAGCGCACTGAATACTTAATTGTAAAGAAAACGAAGACTTAATTTGCAAGGCAGAAGCATCAAACTGTCCACACACCTGCGTGCATTGTAAAATATTAACTCTTTTGTTTTAATTCATATAAATACAACGTTAAAGCCGGTTGCACATTCAATAGATATTTTCATATATCAAATTAATAACAAAAATTATAAAAGTAAAAAAAAATACGCATTTCTTCTAACGTTTTTACTTCCTGCTTTAAAAACTGCAGTCTTGACCAGAATCTCTCCGCGGAAGAATTTTACCATGCAGATTACAGTACGAGTTCAAAAAATGAATTGTGGTTCGTGTTCAGATTAAATATCTATGTATAAAGTAGTTCAACGTATTGTTATGCGTGTGTATATAATGTATGGAATATACTTTCTAAAAAAACGGACCGAGAGGCTATAACCTGTTTGGGAACTGTCTAATTTGCAGGCGCTATGTTTTACGGCGGACCGATACTTGTTTACAGGATTGTAGCTGTACGGCATAACTCAAACTATCCTGTAGAGGGGAGGTAAGGGAACAAGTTGATTGTAAATTGCATGTAAAATTAAATTGAAACAACTGTTCAAGCGGACTGATTTCTTCAGCAATCCTGAGGCGACCTCACAGCCTTTGCTCGTTGTTTTCTACATGACAAAGGTTCTGCACGCGTGCCTTCTAAAGGTAGGTGTAAAAATAGATGCGCCTGGGAAGTAACGATTAATCAAAAAAAAAAGTTTTATTTTGCAAGAGTTTCGGTATGTACAGCAGGCAGGGCCTTCTCAGAAGGGAACTCCTGACATGCATTTGAAAGGGAGCCCTTTTTT